TAAGTGCTATCGGTAGTGTTATTCACACACCTCTTTTTACTCTCAACACACCTTTTTTATTTTTTGTCCATTAATCTTCTTCAATTCATTTGATCTAAATGCCAAAAAATTGAGAAGGGTGTGTGAGAAATAAAATAGGTGGGTGGACAAGACCACTCTAAATTAACTATGGTTAATAGAAGTAGAAATGCTAACGAGACTCAAAAGTGAGACTCTCTATGTACTCTCTATCACCTCATATTTTTTGCACATTGTTTATAATTGTTGGCATGAAAAGTAACATTAAACTGTGAGGTGATAGAGAATTCATTGAGGAGAAATGCTAAGGTGACTATATCAAAGTGGGACTCTCCATAGACTCTCTGCCGTTTTAAAGTTTAACGTAACTCCCGTGCTAATATTATAAAACAGAAGGTTGCAAATAGTCAATGAAGAGTGTCACTTTTGAAAAAACCTCCTTACTATTTCTCATCATAGAAATGCTCACTTTGAGAAAGTGTTATAGCATTTGCGTTAATAGAAATACACTACTACAAAATTATCTATAACTAACGGTCCAAAAACCGACAAAAAACATATATTACTGTCGGATTTTAAGCAAAATCCGACAAAAAATGGATAAAGTGGCGGATATAATAAGCGACAGAATTGCCAGCGTCAGGATTTGAATTTTCTGATAGAAAATACTCTAAAACCGACAGAAATTGTGTCGGATATAACCGACAGAGAATATATTAATAATGAATAAATAAGAGCATTTATGTCGGCTAAAACCGACAGAAAATACTAAAAAAAAACAGCACTTCTGTCGGATATAACCAACAGAGAATTTATTAATAAGAATAAATAAAAGCATTATTGCCGGATAAAACTAACAAAAAATATATTAGTAATAAAAAAGAATATAAACAACCACTTTCTGCATTTTCCATATCCCTTGCATTCACTGCATTTTCCATATTCATAGCAAGATCAGACATAGCTTCCTTAAGAAGTGGCTTATGACGCGTCATGCTAACCACTGTTATAGCATCGTTTGTTTCTACCTGCACACATTCACATTCCATTAGAATCACTCAATCACAGCAAGCATTGCTCATTCAAATGAATCTCTCCCTGAAATGAAAATCGAAATACTTACAGTGTTAATGAGATCTATGACAACGGAGAGCTCCTGGTGTGCCAGCTACAAGTTCTCCACCATGCTCTACCATTGCCACTGCGTCGCCAAACTCTCTTTCGAGCTCTTCTTCTGCTTCTTGTTCTCATCCTTTTCCACAGCCCAAGCGAAATTGATTCTCCAAATCAAATTCTGCCCCTTCTCGTCGTAGCGTACATCACTTTAATCGAAGAAATAGATAATTAGGGTTTCTGAGAAATCAAAAGTTGATGCTTGTTTGGTTTCCGAGAAAATAAAATCAGACAAAAAGAGGATGAATCGAGGTAGCGCAAGAGCTTCAACCTCCCAATTGAATCTGGCAGTGTAACAACTGTGCTTAACTCATGTCTAGCACACGCATATACGTAAGTGAATGAATTATTTCATCTTTTCCTTTCCCAAAGGCTCTCAATTGCAAGTGTTGAACCCGACAGAAGGAAGGGAGGGGAGAAAATGGGGAAGGAAGGGGGAAGAGAGAAGGAAATGAGGAGAAAGGAGAAGAGAAGAGAAGAGATGTAAGATCCCACTCACCTTGATAATTCGAGCTTGACAAGACAACCTATATAAAAATCTCCAGAACTTAAGCTTACATGTATACTGACTAACTCATTTGCACCTTGATCAAGTTCCCACTAACAGAGATCGTTATCAAAGGTTAGTTGGAAGGTTAATTTATTTACATCACACCAAGCCAGATATTGCATATGCAGTAAGTGTTGTTAGTCAGTTTATGCATTCTCCAAGTGATGCACATATGGGTGCGAATGGAAGGGGGAAGGGAGAAGGCACCGGCGTAAGGAAGAGATGGAGGGGTTTTATGTTGGAAATTTTTTATTACTGTCAATTAAAACCGCCAAAAATATTTTTTAAAATATAAACCGACATAAAATTTTCATTACTGTCGATTATAACCGACAAAAAAAAATGGTGGCAAAAATCCCCCCAAAATTCCCTCCCAAAATTTGGTTACGATTTTAAAAAATAAAATAATTATTGTTTGGTTTAATAAATAAATAAATAATATGTATTTAAATCTAATACGTTTTTAAAAATTAAATAAATAATTGTTTGGTTTAATAGATAATAACCCATGTAAAATATGCAATAAAGAAACAAAAAGATAATTGTACAATGAAAATATTATCACACAAACTAAATATTGTCTAATCAATACTTGAAAAACATAAATAAAAATTTAGCACAAATTACTTTTCCCACTTCAAAATTTAGGCAAATTTAACTGAGATATGCATTCTACGAAACTTGTTTCAATGATCTAACCATCAAACTTGTTTGTAGATACTACAGGATCGTATACGTAAAAAATCGCAAAAAAAAACATTCAGAGATTAGGTAACGGAACAAAAGTTTTTTACGGTTATAAACGAAAAATCACAATTTAACGGTTATTTTAGCTCCGGTTTTGATGATTTTTTTACAGCTACACTTCTTGACCCTATAAGAATGCAATGAATGAATTCGATCTTCAATTTAAAATATTTACACTAGTGGATACCACAAAATCTTATTTTATACTTCACGGAAGTATAATATTAACTCTAAGTGTCACATCCCGCCCCGGGGCGGATCACTTTCCGGGCCTGCTCCACCACCGTAGCACGATATTGTCCGCTTTGGGCTTACCATTCCCTCACGGTTTTGTTTTTGGGAACTCACGAGCAACTTCCCAGTGGGTTACCCATCATGGGATTGCTCTAGCCCCCTTCTCGCTTAACTTCAGAGTTCATGCGGAACCCGAAGCCAGTGAGCTCCCAAAAAGCCTCGTGCTAGGTAGGGATGGGAATATATATTTAAGGATCACTCCCCTGGGCGATGTGGGATGTCACAATCCACCCTCCTTAGGGGCCCGACGTCCTCGTCGGCACACACGCGACCAGGGTTAGGCTCTGATACCAAATTGTCACATCCCGGCCCAGGGCGGATCACTTCCCGGGCCTGCTCTACCACCGTAGCATGATATTGTCCGCTTTGGGCTTACCATTCCCTCACGGTTCTGTTTTTGGGAACTCACGAGCAACTTCCCAGTGGGTTACCCATCATGGGATTGCTCTAGCCCCCTTCTCGCTTAACTTCGGAGTTCCTACGGAACCTGAAGCCAGTGAGCTCCCAAAAGGCCTTGTGCTAGGTAGGGATGGGAATATATATTTAAGGATCACTCCCCTGGGCGATGTGGGATGTCACACTAAGTGTTTGTTTAATCTATCATTTTGATGCGATGTGCATTCTACGAAACTTTTTTCAACGATCCAACCGTCAAACTTATTTATACACACTCCGAGATTGCATAGTAAAAAATCGTAAAAAACAAACATTCAGATATTACGTAACGGAACAAAAACAACGGTTATAAACTAAAAATCACAATTTAACGGTTATTTTAGCTCCGATTTTAATGATTTTTTACAGCTACACTGCTCGACCCTATAAGAATGCAATGAATAAATTTGATCTTCAATTTAAAATATTTACACTAGTGGATACCACAAAATCTTATTTTATACTTGATGGGAAAGTATAACATTAACTCTAAGTGTTGGTTTAATCTACCATTTTGATGCGATACGCATTCTACGAAACATTTTTCAACGATCCAATCGTCAAACTTGTTTGTACACACTCCGAGATCGCATACGTAAAAAATCACAAAAAACAAACATTCACATATTAGGTAACGAAACAAAAGTTTTCGATGGTTATAAACGAAAAATTATAATTTAACGGTTATTTTAGCTCCGATTTTGATGATTTTTTGCAGCTACACTCATTGATCCTATAAGAAATGCAATGAATGAATTCGATCTTCAATTTAAAATATTTACACTAGTGGATAAATCTTATTTTATACTTAATGGCAATATAACATTAACTCTTAAGTGTTTGTTAAATCTATCAATTTGATAGGATATGCATTCTACGAAACTAGTTTCAACGATCCAACCGTCAAATATGTTTGTATAAACTCCGAGATAGCATGTGTAAAAAATCGCAAAAAAAAAATAAACATTCAAAGATTATTCTGGTGGTCGTCCAAAATTTTACTTTGTTCGTGTCGGTTATATCCGACCAGGCCATGAGTGAAAAAAAAAATTTTAAACATGTGTTTATTTATTTATTTTTAATCAATATAACATTTTAAAATAATAAAATCAGACATGATAGAGTACATCAAATATTCATGTGTGTTTATGTGCCTGACAATGTGTTTTGTGACGCATTGAAAAAAATTGTTTGAATTTCTTTGTATCTTGTTGCTTGCCTGTGAGGGAGTATAATCCTTATTACAAAAATGATAGAGCTTCAGATTGTAGTCTGTTTTTATTATTCTCTCAGAAAATTTATGGCTCGTGGGAATTGGGTTCATTAGACTTTAGGGTCATGAGTGAAAAAAAAATATTTAAAATATGTGTTTATTTATTTATTTTTAATCAATATAACATTTTAAAAAAATAAAATTTTCATTTCTGTCGGTTATAACCGACAGAATACTAAAATAATAACCGCCAGAAAGTAAAATAATAAAATAGTCAATTTCTGTCAGTTATAACCGACAAAATTTGACTTAAAAACCGTCAGAATCTGTCAAAAATATTTAAAAAAAGATTCAAAAATATTGTCGGTTATAACTAACATGATTTTTTTGATATCCGCCACTAAATATCCGTCAGGACTTTATGTCGGATATAATCGACATGAGTTTTCTAACATCCACCACCTAAAACTAATACTGTAGTAGTGATGGGCCAGGCAGATAACAAGTTCAAGATGACAATTTTACTATTCACCTCCTGGTGAGCGGAAAATCTACTCCACCTTAAAAAAAAAAAAAAAAAAAAAAAAAAAAAAGAAGAAGAAGAAGTAGACACCCAATTGGCATATTAATTGTGGGAAATTGCGTCGCGCTTTCTTTTTGTTTGGTTTGTGGAGGCCGAGAGGGAGCAGTGTTGGCTCGAGAAGATTGCAGAGATGGTCATGGAAATTGTGGAACCAAACGCATGCATTAGAGGTTGCTGCAGCAGCAATTCCATTCCTCTCCATCTTCCACCTTCCTCTTACACTCTCCTCAAACCCGTTGCCCGAGGTAACTATTAACACTCAATCCTCCAAGTCCTTGTCCTCCCTCATAAGCCTCTTTGGCTAATTAATTGATTTTGTTGTTTGGATTATGGGACTACCTGTGCGACTAGGGGCTGAGAGTGTTGTATACGAAGCACTTTTGGATGGGAAGAAAGTTGCTGTCAAGAAACCCAGCTTGTCTACTTCTGATGATCTTGATAAATTCCACAAGGAATTGCAATTGCTTTGGTATTTTTATGAAATGGGTTATATCTATATGTGTATATATATTAGTGTTGTGTGTATTATGTATATATGCATATGAAATTATGAATGTTGAGCTTCTAATGTCATGATTGATTTTGGTAATTGTGGCCCTTCAATTTCGTTTAACTTTTGTTTATTTCTTGTTAATCACGACATTAAGTAAGCTGGATCATCCGGGATTAGCAAAATTGGTAGCTGCGCATGCAAGGCCTCCCAATTACATGTATTTCTTTGAATTCTTTGAATCACCCAATTTGTCTGACAAACTACACATGGAAGAATGGACTCCGAGTATCGATCAGGTGCTTGTGATTGCTCTCCATTTAGGTATGACTTAGTTTGATGGATGCTAATTATTTTCTTTAAGACCCTCCTAGCATTCAACCCTATCATTATCAGAACAGACACAAACTTATTTTGTAGGAAATGCATTGATCATCTTTAGTGAAGGAACAACTGTTATAGCTGTGGTTTCTAGTTTACAATTTCATTGGCAGTCATTTTAACACACACACACAAACACGTACATATTTATTAACTATTAAACCTCCGAGAGGTCTTTGCTATTTAGCCTTATCACAAGGGCTGCCTGCAAATAGTCCTTGAATTAAGTTGTGGGGTGCAGGGTGTGGAGCTAGGATAAACTGGTGATAGTTTTCATGTTATGGTACTGCAACGTCACGAATTGTCGCAACTTGCGTTGATCAGTTGGCAATTAGAACTTATTGCTGCACTTAGTCATTTTTTTATTTTATACCATTCTCAACTAGAGGTTTCTAAAAGTGTTTAGTTCCATGATTTTTCATTGTTTTCCTTAGCACTTTTTTTGTCCTTTTCCAGCAAAGGCTTTGCAATACCTGCATAACCTCGGGATTGTACATAGGGATGTGAAACCGGAAAATATTCTTGTAAATGTCTATCTTAAGTATCTTGTCCTTTAGTATCAGAAATCCTTTTTTTTTTTTTTTTTCTTTTTTTTTACCTTTTTGTTTTACGCACTTAACTACTATAATTTTCTTATGATGCAGCTTGACAACGATCTTTTCCCCCACTTAGCAGACTTTGGTTTGGCTGTATATAAAGAAGATCTTAAAGGAGTTTCTCTTGAGAATTGGAGGTCATCTGGCAAGCCTACTGGTGGTTTTCACAAAAAGAATATGGTTGGCACCCTCATTTACATGGCACCTGAAATATTGAAGAAGGAAACTCATACAGAAAAGTCAGACGTGTACAGCTTTGGTATTTCACTCAAGTATGTATTTAGGAGTTGATAACCTAAGAAAGCAAATTTTATTACAGTTGTATCTGATGACCATACGTGTTCTTTTAAGTGATGCTGTTTACATTTTGTTTTGAAGTATTGGATTGAGCTATGGGACCTTAAATATGGTTATTGACAAAAATGTTTATGGTAGTCAGACTTGCCCTTAAGACCTTTAGACCTTGATGCAGCATAGGTGTATTGGTAGTTAAGGGGATGTTTAGGGAGAACAGAAATAAAACTAGAGATAGGATCACCCCAGTTTGTTTCTAGAAATCGATCTTAGATGCCTTATGCATCACATGATTTACTTTAGAGGCCTCAATGAACAAAAGATTGCCCTTTTGATTAAACTTAACCAATAATTGCATGAAATGATTTAGAAGATTACATCATGATTGACTTTTAAGACACGTTTCTAACAGTTTGGAGATTATTTTCAGTCTTTTCTACTTCAATAAGGAGGGATTTACATTGCCCATTTTACATATAGACTTTGAGGTCAACTCTGCAATAATCGTACCACTCACAACTTCTGCAGTGAGGATACATAATGTTTCATTGCCTTAGTTGTGATATGTGCCAGTGCAGCCTGGGTTTTTATGAGCAAAGTGCCAATAATCCCTTACGTCATGTTTTTCTTCAACTCCTAAGGTACTAATAGTTAGAAACTAATAATGGGGGTAGACTTCAATTACCTTAGGATCATTTACACTGCTACTATATGAGTCTCACTAGTACATTAATTGAGTCAGCTGAATCAGAACATAATCTATGTCTGGATGTTTCTGATACCAGTAATCAGCTTCTCAACAAGTAGAGCAACTTCATTTGAATCAATACATACACCCAAAATCGGAAGATAAAGAATAGTTAATATATTCAAGATAAATTACGTATTTACAAAATACCATCTCAATTCATCCTATTTCATCATATCCGGGATGTGATATGGTTCCGAAGGATGAATTGGATATGTGCAAATCCAATAAGATTTCATTCCTGAACAAAAGTCCATTTTTTTATTTATTTCATCTATTCCATGATGGGAACAGGGGGGATACACATTACTTCCCAATTTGGAATCAGAACAGTAGCGAGTTTTAGTTGAGTGGTCCCTCAGATAACACCATGGGACATCGTGGAGGATCCACATTTTATTGTTGTGTGATGATCCGAACTGTCTACAAAGATTTTTCTTGTAAAATAAACCTTAAATTTATAAATATACCAGATCACAATGAATAGTTGTGTAACCAAAATTGCTGATGTAGAACAAGTAACCAAAGTTTAGAAATCAGAAAGAGATTTTAGAAGGCAAGAGGAACTAGGTCTGAATATAAGAGAAACAGAGGATTCAGAATAGGAAGACAGAAGAAATAGATAAACCGAAGAGAAATCTAGAACAGAAGGGGAGATCAGGGTTTAAGAGGACAGAAAGGCGAGAGATAATTCAAGGTGAGGAAATTTCATTCATCAATCAAGTATGCTATTATTTGAATTACAAAGCACATATTTATAATTAATCAAATCTGGCTATGAAGGAAAGTAATCTTACTCATACTAGAAACAGGAGAATACAAATAAACTGTATTAAAATATCCCTAAGATATTGTTCTGCATCAATTACATTTTATAGTAGTAATTTCATTATTATGTTAATATTTTATAGACAAGCATGCAGTTTAAATTTTCATCTCTTTTTCCCATGAATATGAAATTTCAGTATGATCCTCTTGCAGTGAGCTTCTGACCGGTGTTGTTCCATATACTGATCTTCGTGCGGAAGCCCAGGTAGCCTTTCTCATTTGTGTTTTGCTGCTTAACTTGCAATATATTAAGAGATGTTGATTTACAGTTGGATTGATGTGGCATATGATTCTTGTTGCTAATACATGTTTGGGTTTTGGAGATTTTTCGTAAGGATGATTCTTGACCTTGAATGAGGTCCAACTATTCGGATCTTTGGACTGCATTGATGTTTGGGTTCACATGCCCATTTTTGTGAATAGTATATTATCCCGAGGGATTAGTTTTTAAAATTCCAGCTTATTTTTGGTTTGCATTATGGTTTACTGCACAAGTAATTTTCCGGCATTTTCAGATGTATTTTTATATTTAATCCATCTATGGTAGCATTCGTTTACTTGATTTTATGGCATCGTATTGTTTAACATTGATTTGTTACTTGGAAATAAATGTTTAATAGATGAAGAGGGTTTAGAATTTCAAAACTGCTAACTTTGAATAAAGCATCCAAGTACGAAAAATATCTTCTGACTTCTGCAGTTATATCAGAAGTTTGGGAGGTAGTGATGTGGAAATTCAAGTATGGGTCCGATATAGTCGAAACCAAATATCAGTTGGAAATAGCGGTCAAACATAGTGAAAAAAGGTTGAGTGGCCTTGTTGATGAGGCGTTGCAAGGCACACGATATGGTTCATAGCCTGTGCTAAGAAAGAAGGCCTGAAAGCATCCCATCCTCCGATAAATTTAGGGAAAGCATCACAGTCTCATCACATGAGTTTCTGCTAATTTCAATGAAACATTCCCTTTTCTTTGTCTTAGACTCTCAGTGTTTTAGTTTGTGGTTTTTATTCTAGGGTCAGGATCTGGAGGCAAACAAGTTCATAAATATATTTACAACTTTTTAGCCTTTGGGGTATCAAATCCAAGGGTATTAAACCAAAGCGATGTGGAGATTTTATAATCATTAAATGGCATGGAGGCTGATGTGGAATTGTAGCAAATTAGGGAAGAAGTCTAAAGGAAGAGGAACTAGAAAATAAGATAAAATGCCCCTCCTCCATTCCGCTGCAAACACTCCAACGTTGATGCTGCTTCATCACCTAAGCCTTTGCTTATATCCTGTAACATATTTTCTGTCTGACTACCTGCCTTTAGTTTTTAGACTATTAGTAAGAATTACTTCAATCTATAGATGGGTTCATGTAAATGTTTAATGTTCTAACAATCAGTACTATGATCTTGAATTTCAAGCAGCATCTCTGATGCAATTACGTTTGTTATCCAACAAAAATAAATTATCATGTTTTATTATGGATATGACTCAAATTTGTCACTGAATAGCTCATGGTAGCTAGTAGCTGATTGGTGCATCATGCTAGCAGGCGCACACTGTACTGGAGATGAACTACACAGAGCAGCAACTTACAGCAGCAGTGGTGTCAGATGGATTGCGACCGGTTCTTGCTGATCCTGAGTCTGGTGTGCCACCAGCTTTATTATCAGTGATACAGAGATGTTGGGATGCAAATTCTCAAAACAGGCCTTCTTTCGATGACATAGTTGCTGAACTTGTTATAATTTTGAAACACAGAGAGAAAATAAAGGAGCCAGATAGTTCCTTTCACGATTCTCTTAATTCTCTTGGTAATCAGCCTATAGATGTTGGCAACAATCTTCAAGCTTATCAAGAGGGTATTAACTGGTTTACTCAGGGAGAAAATTCCATCAATAGAGCTTGTGAACCTAAGCATGGTTTGGAAAAGTGGCTTCAAGCTTCAAATGATACTTTGGCATATCATCCAGTACTTTCTTGGGGATCTTTTGCTACCTGTGGCAGAAGGGAGACGATGGAGGATACACATTTCCTTTTGCCACATGTGTGTAATGAAAGGGATATCCATGTTTTTGGTATTTTTGATGGTCATAGAGGTGAAGTTTGGCAATTTATCTTTCTAATTGTGTATTTGGTATTTCTATTAGCAACCTGATTCTAAGCTGTGCTACAAGGATATAACTGTAACAAAATGCAGGTGCAGCAGCTGCCGAATTTTCAGCTCGAGCTTTTCCAGGATTCCTGCAAGCTATAAGTTCGATTAGCAGGTTTGTTCCTTCCATTCTTCTCTCTTTTTAACATTGTATATTTTATTTGACTAGTTGACTTTATCTCTAAATGCAGTCCAAGAAGTGCATTGTTCGAGGCATTCATTAAGACTGATATAGCATTTAGAGCTGAGCTGGATATTTCTCGTAAATCCAAGAGAGTTATCCAGAAGGACTGGCATCCTGGTTGCACTGCAGCTGCAGCTCTTATTGTTAGAAATAAACTTATTGTAGCTAATGCAGGAGATTGCAGGACAATACTGTGTCGTGCTGGCCACCCCCTTGTTCTAAGCAAGGTGACTTAGACTTGATACATTCCTGTTTGGTCATTCTGGTTTAGTACAAGGTTTTATTCCTCAGAATAATGAATGAAATATTAGGATCACGTTGCAAGCTGTCTCGAGGAAAGGGATCGGGTTATTAGTGCAGGAGGAGACGTAAGATGGCAAGTCGATAATTGGAGGGTGGGTCGTGCTGCTCTTCAGGTTTGTGCCTTCAGATATCATGATACTTTTGCAATATTTTCTTCCAAAAGTCTGATATTTGACGTTTGTTTGTTTTCTGCTACTTATGTGGGTAGGTTATTTTCTCCAGCAGAAAGGCTGAACCCTTGTTTGAGTTAGTTTGGGAAAAAAAAATAATAATAATTCATAATAAATAAATAAACTTTGCCCGAGAGGAAAAGCAAAAATAATCAGCTTCCATTGTGGTGCAACATAAGATTTTTTTTGAGGAAAAGAGCGATGTGTTTTATCTTCTTTATTTTCAACTACATGTTATTTTGCACCCAAAAGTATCCGTAGATAACTTACATTACATACTTTTGTATAATATTGCTTTGGAAACAAGTACAACTTTGTTCAGCTTTTTACAGTTTTGCTATGCAACTTTTTATCATGTTGGTTCTGCAATGTGCTTTCTTGGCAAACAAAGGTAAAAATTGAATTCATTACCAGTTTTCTCGAAGTAACTTTTCTGGAAACAAGAAATAAATTTTTATATATCGAAACCATTACCATTGTGTTGAAAACCAAATATTTTGGTTTATTTTGTTTAACAAAGGAAATCCATCTTGGTCTCATCAAAGTTATCTTTAAACAGGGTAATTAAACATATTATCTGCTTTATCATAAGATAGTGACTAGTATAAGAAAATGAATAACTGTTCCGGATGGTACCTGCAGATATCAGTGACTGGCACGTAATTAACATTTCAAACGTGTTCATCTTTTCCGGTTGAATGTGTATCTTTGACATCTTTTCTTCCAATAGGTTACTCGTTCCATAGGTGATGATGATCTAAAGCCTGCTGTGACTGCAGAACCTGAGATAACTGAAACTATTCTCTCCCCAGAGGATGAGTATTTGGTAAGGACTTGTCACACCTTACGCGTACATAAAAAGCTGCAATTTATCCTACTTAGGGCTTGTTTGGGAGTGTTTCTATAGAAGTGGTTTTACTCGGTAGTGATCTTGGTATTTAAAAATTTTCTTTGAAACCGAGTGATTTCGGTGTTTTTCAAAAATTATTTCTAGGGATGCTTCTCCATAAACCCTATTCTTATTTCATGATCTCTTGGGATTGTTTCCTGTTTCATCATGATTTCCAGATTTCCCTGTATTATTAAAACATTCCCATTATGTATTATTTTTATATTAATTATACTTGTAAATCAAGTCATTGTACACTATTTAAATCAATGATAATGTACCCTCGAAAGTATCGAGGCATTGAGCCAAATTACCTTCTCTTGCCTTTTTGCTGTCTTGTCTGCAATTCCTGATTTGGGTTATCTTTTAGTTACCAAATAGAATGCCGCTTAAGAAGAATCAGTTGATTAGAACTTATCAATAATTTCCGTCAAAGTTCATAACAAAATAACTCAGTAAGTTGCCTCTGCTACTCTGAGACTTCGCATGTTTCATGCGTCAGACTTGTATATTATTTGTCTTCTCTCTTTCTCATGGATTCAGGGGTGTCTTTTTTCATAAGATTTTATTTGTTTTGTTTGCTGAAGGATATATATATATATATATATATATATATATCAACTTTCAATATGGAGATGGTACTGTTTGATAGGCAACCGAACCTACAGACCGAGTTTGCTCTATCTAGAAGCGAATAATATGTTGCTTAAACTGTTTAATCTCAATCATTGTTACTTTTCTTTTGAAAAAATAAACCAAATTTTTGTCAGGTAATGGCAAGTGATGGACTGTGGGATGTTGTGAGCAATGCGGAGGTTGTAAACATAATCCGGGACACGGTGAAAGAGCCTGGAATGTGCTCCAAGAGATTGGCGACCGAAGCCGCAGAACGTGGGAGCAAAGACAACATCACAGTCATTGTCGTCTTCCTCCGTCCTGTCTCCACAGCTGAGAGAATTTTCTAGGTTGGTTTGCTAGTTTTTCCAACTTATGAATGCAAATGTGGGAGGAAATTTAGCCTGGAAAATAAAAAAACGGTGAATTATTGGTCGGTGTACGATACCAAGACCAACACTGTATTTTCTATAGGATATTCTTTGAATAAAATCATCTCCCGGATGAGCTTTGCGGGCCGGTGGTCCAGTTTATTATTTGAAAGGATTGTCGAGATCCAGTTTATGGGGGAGCCAGAAATACAGGTTATATTTATGTTTTAGTGGCTGAAGGCCAAGCTCTCCTTGATGGCTTTAAGATTGCTGCTACTAGACAAATTCGGAGACTTGAAATTGAAGGGGATTCTAAGATTCTCGTTGATGCTATCAATCTTAGGTCTGCGGTACCTTGGCTAATCAAGATTTTGATCATATTTCTTTCCAACATATTCTTCGTGAAGACAACTTTGTGACGGATGCTCTTGGTTTATTGGGTCATAATTTGGATGGAGTCCAAGTTTGGTTTAACACCCTCCCTCCTGCAGCTTGGGTATACTATTGTGACTATCTTGTTGAATATAGACCTGACAATTTTTGACACGACCTGTTAACTAGTAACAAAACATGAAATTAATAAGTTTTCGGGTCAACACAATAACGAATCGGGTCGTTATCAAGTAACTTAATAAGTATTTGTTAAGATAACGGGTCGGTCTAGGTATACACGTGGGTAACTCGTTACACGACAAGAAAAATATTAATTTGATAATTTTATGCCATTAAAAAAAAATACTAAAATTAATAATAGTAAGATTTAGTCTTGAGCCGAACTAAAAGTTAATATATATATATATATACATATATATATATATATATTAAATTAAATTTAGAAAATTGGTAGTTGTTAGCTCGGTTAAGATTTAATCTCGGGCGTCTAATGTTTTTCTCAGCCTTAAATCACTCTTTGTCGATCTCGAATGCTCGAATCAAAACAACCACTCTCTCTCTCGAGTTGAACTCTCGATTCTCAATCTCGAACCTCAACTTTGGTCAGCCACGAGTCCACAACCACCCTCTCCAATCTCCCTCACCACACCATTATCACCACATACGACCTAGTAAATCACCACCAGTCGATCTGCTATTTTTGTCTCCAATTATCTCTCTTTGGATCGAACAAATCTCGAGCCCCTAATCAAGATAATTGTTGATTCTTTCGAATTACCTTCAAAATATACCGTTTTGTTTTGAATTAGTTTTTCCAATGATATGTTGAAGACAACAAATCAAGCTAAAGTTCTAATACCATTTCTCCATGATGATCGATGAAAATTGAAAGATCTTATAAAAAGAACAAGATGCAAGCTTTGTGTTTCATTGATAAGGTTTTAACTTTTGAGAAATACTTCACAATCGTAAAAAGAAAAACTCCTTCATTTTGCATATCCTTACACATTTGATATTTTGTAATAGTGTATTAATACTTTTCTATTATGCTCTTATTTTGGAGTATGTAGTACTTAATGATAAATATATTTTTATGTTTTGAAGTAATATTTATGACAATACAGTATGTGCAAATTTATAAAGGAAAAAAAATATATATTTTTCTTAACGGATCATAACGGATTGAATCATTTACTTGGGTAGTCTGTTTAAATAATGGATATGACATGACATGTGCAATTCCGTATCTCTTTTACCATTCCATCAGACACCATCATTACCTTCCATTTTTTAAAAATCTTTTTCACACTTCCCTAACTCTCTTTTCCCCCGCTTTCTTCCCCCATGCCGTGTCCCTCTCTCTTTCTTCAGTTCCCAATGTTTAGTTTTTTTGTTATTAAAAGTTTTGGACCAATCTTTGTTGACACCTTACTTCCACTCACAAATTTTATTATATTCTTACCCCTTCTTCCACTCTTCCGTGTCTCCGACCTTTTCAGCCTCTCAATCTCTATATCTCTTTCCCTCGTACTCTTTCATTTCATCTACACGCACAGAGAGCAGAGTTGCAGAGAGCAACGCAGAGAAGCAGGGAGAGCCTGACGAGGGCCCCAAAATTAAGGAGCTGCTGCTCCATTTAGTTAAAATTAGGGGTTTGGTGTGTGGAGATTGGTAGTAGGTTATCTTATCAAAGCTCGGAATACTAAGGGGAGTGAGTTTATGTTATGTGTTGCAAATTATACTTATTTTTAAATATCTTTATTTCAAGTCAAATATGTTGGATTACTTTCATAATTATTAATATAGTAATATGTGGATATTTGGAATTATTCATAGAGTATGAGAACTTTAATGATGCATTAATCCGAGAAATAAATGTAAACTGTACACGGAGTGACACACCCCGACCGAGATCAGGGCATGTTGACCGTCACGTGAAAGTGACGTAACCATGTGCACAGTGCGGAAGCTAATAAATAATAATAAAAGTACGAATAAATAAAAACCAGTTATACACAACGTGGAAACATACATGTGCAAGCAAAGTGTGAGAACAAAGTTCAGAGCACGAAGACCTAATGCAGTCCGGGAGAAACAACACTACAAAAACACACCCAAAGGTGGTCCTACACTGGTGATAATTTGTCAGATATGCCGGAGAAATCCTCTGGGCAGCCACCAAAAGTGCTAGCCAACTAGAACCTGGAGGGGCGCAAAACAAAAAGTGTGAGTGGCCAAAAACAAAGTTTTCAAAAACCATTTCATAAACAAAGTTTTAACCCCTCGCCGTAAAACCTGTATACTTCCCAGAAAAATAGGATATATACATATACATAAATCATGCTCGGAAATATGCCATGTCAAAGGTCTCTAAATAGAATGCAAGTGCTCAGAAAATGTCAAATCAATGCCATGTAATTTGTCAGCCGGAGTCACCTAACGTAACCTGTACGGCTAAATCTAGAGCGCAAATCTCCAACTCACTAACTATACCTGCACATGAGTCGAAACCACCTAGAGTGGTCTGTACGATAGGGCTGGGTGTATAATAAGTACGCTCAAGTGCTACGATCACGTGAAGGCTAGGCGAATAATCGCGGGTCACCTACGAGTCGGAACCACCTAAAGTGGTCTGTACGACAGGACTGTGCACCTAACTTGGATCCAAGATGAGCGTGTGGTGCGGGAGGTGAACATCACGTGAAGGACTGTGCCCAACTCTGGGCGAGAGCACTAACACCGGGAGTGCAGGTTATGAGCTCTCTATGCATCTCAAATCACTACTGAACGTAAGCATAAACCATACTCACCTGTCACTTACCTGTGCACCCGCAACACCAACATACAAACATATATATGCTACTAATAATACATAAACAAACGGCAAACATAATGCATGGCATATAAATGTATAAACATTTCCATTCACTTTCTGGGAAAAAACGTAAGTATATAGGTATATACGGAAAACCAAAAGCCCACTCACTGGTATGTAGAAGGGTCGTAACCCCCTTGCCTCGAGTGACCGCGCTCGTCCTTGGGATAGGTCTCACCTATATGCGAAACAACTATAAAAACGTTAATTTTAAAGCACATAACCAACATCACGAAATAACTTCTCATACAATGCTCAAATGGGGTGTATGAATACACCAACGTGATCTACTCAACCTCAGGAACATCCCCATATTTTTAGAAAATTTTTCCGACGCCGCACGCGCCCCCACGCGCCGGCCAAGACACTGCCACACGCGCCGCCCACGCGCAGGCACGTGCCTGGCACACTGACTGTGTCAGTTAACGCCGTCAGGAATATTCCGTTAAATCTAACTGATGCCGTTAACGCCGTTAGGAATATTCCATCCAAACTGACGGAATATTCCGTCATCTTCTCCGGCCAAACTCCAGCGCCGGAAAACCGGGAAACTTTAAAACCTTGTATCTTCTTCGTTTTTCAACCAAATTTCACAAAATTGGTACCAAAATGAAGCTTACAACAAGAGGAACAAATCCATACCACTTTCAAGCACTAAAACCCACGGAATCTCGCTGGTAAAACACCACCAACCCCAGCCAAGCTTGTAACTCACGATCCCGACGTCCAAAACCTTCAAACGAACCACCCCGAGACTCCTAAGGACCTCACCAAGCTTCCTACAAGCTTGAAATTCCCAAAAAACACAAGAATTACGTGTGCATGAACAGTGACCAAATCAGGGTATCCCGAGTTTGACGTGAAAATGAAGGTATCCTTACCTGAAATGGGTATGGTTGAACTCCCAAAGACCTCATGAGCACGAATATGTAATTTGTTTCCTCGATCTGTGAAGGTTTCAATGATTTTTGGGTGTGTCCGTACAAGAAGAATAGGAATGGGAGAGAGAGAGAGCTCGGGATAGGGCAAGGAGAGAGTGAGTAAGTGAGTGTGGTGTATGTGTGGTCCAAAACCAGCCAAGCAACACCCAAAAACAACCACACAACGAAACAACCATGATAGGGGCAAAATCTTCATTTCACCCCTACAGTTCGAAAATCCGGAATGGGCTGTCACACGGAGACATTAGGGCAGAATGTCCAATATAATTCACGTGATGAGTTACTATTTATGAAGGATATAATGAACACGTAAATGGATGATGTGATATGGCACTACATGCATATTGATTAGATATTATTATTATGTTTTCCATAGTAACTAAAATAGCATCCCTTGACTGACATATTACATATTCTACTCACTGAGCAACAACGGTTGTTGCGCACCCCTCACATTTTTATTTTACAGATGAGTTATTTGACAAGGGATTTAAGAGTTTTCTTATTTTTGTACTTTGTAAGGATTTTGTAATAGTTACTTGTATACGAGAAGTTTTTATTTTTCATTTTTACCTTTTGGCTTCGTCACCCTTTGGGTGATGGCCATGACATTGCGATTGGGATGTTCAGGTGGACATTTTAGGTCGGGATGTGACATGACACGACCCATTAAGATAACATGTATTACATAAAAACGACACGAACACATCAAACATGACTCATTTGCCAAGCCTAGTTGAATGTCCTAGGGGTTTTTCATTGTAATTTTTTCTTTTGCTATATAAAAAATAAATAAATAAATAAACGAGTACTAATTAAGAAAATTGAGGAAAAGATGTCGCGAAAGAGAAGGAAACCCTAAGAAAAACTAAATTTCTAAGTCACTTTTCTACTTAATAAACCATTCAATTTTAAGACGATTAATGGATTAATTAGGAAGTGGCCATGACCTCCCT